GGGGGGGAGCTGTGGGGCCAGCTTGAACCCTGAAGTGGTTCGCAATGTATATAGTTATGTCTTCTCCAAAGTTTTTCTCTGCACAAAGTTAAATGGCTCTGCGCTTCGATAACAAAAGAAGCCTATTTCTTCTGCTAGCCTCACCCTGGTCTCTTAGAGCCTGGGACTCTCGGAAGAGCTGAAGCGTCAGAGCTATAGCAGGTTGATGCTATCACAGGTGCTACCACAGGTGTGTGTGGGGGGATTCCTACACCTACGTTTGCAGGTACCTAAATCCTTGATGTAGGAGCGTTTGGTCTGGTGATCTTCAGAAGCTGGAAAATTTCATTCAACCTAGGGGCACTGAGGTGGAAGCCTGGACTACTCAAACCCCGGAAAACAGCCTGTTTAGGGTCTCTAGCCTCTAGAGGGGCTGGATTGATTGCTATGCGATGGGTATGTCCGGAAAGGGCCTAGGGTTAGAGAAAAAGTTCGGTTTCTCAGTCTTTTCAATCACAGGAAACAAAGGGGTGGGGGAGAAGGAATACAGCTGTGGCAGATGCCTCCCAGCTTCCCTTATCTTTCCCCAGTTGGGTGGCGTATGAGTATCCCGACTTCCAGGGACAGCAATTCATTCTGGAGAAGGAGGACTATCCTCGCTGGAGTGCCTGGAGTGGCAGTGGTGGCCACCACAGTGACCAGCTGCTCTCTTTCCGGCCAGTGCTCTGCGCGATGAGCACAGCCTTTCCTCTCCTCCTCTGCCTCCTAGCTCCTAACTCCAGGCCCTGGCCACACCATGGCGCCTAGGAAAAGCCGTCCACTCACTATATGGAGGTGTATAAACACAACTCCTTGATGGGTGGTAGAGGCATTACTTTCCAGAAACAGAGGGACCTCCATAAATCTGGAATATGGGCCTAAGCCAGGCGCTGGATATCAGCACCACGGACAGCGCTGAGACCACGCCAGCCTTGCGCGCGCATGGAGTTCCTCACATCCAGTTGGCAAGTGTGAGCAAGTGCCTCTGTCATTACACAGCCTTGTGAGGTCTGGGTGGCTGCTGTTAGCCTCATACACGGGTGTGGAAATGGGGCTCAGAGGGGCAAATGGACTTGCCCCAGGTCACAAGGGTCAACATGAAGTTGAAACTAGAACTCAATCCAGGGATCAAGGCTGAGAAAGGGTCTCTCTCTCTCTCTCTCTCTCTCTCTCTCTCTCTCTCTCTCTCTGTGTGTGTTTGTTGGGGGAAGGGTTACTAGTAAATCAAATACACTGAAGGGGAGGATCTCCCTTACCATTTGTGCTGACTTAGGTATTATACTGGTGAGACTTGGTGCTGGGGGGTGAGGGCAGAGAGCAGGTGCTGACTCAACCCAGCTTCTCCATTCCAGGAGGCCAAGGAGCCCTGAATGGGGAAGGACCTGGGACTCTGGAAGCCCATACCCAACCAACACTGCTATTCTGACCTGTCTATTCTGACTCTACCATCCAACACCCTTTAGATGGGCCTTAACCTGTGAGAGGCTGCCCAGGATGCTGGGCAGGGGATTGGGTAGTCAATGAGGCCCTTAGTTCAACTGTCTCAGGTAATGAGCCAGATTTCTCTCAAGACCTCTGATTTTCCTCCTAAAAAATAGGTCAATGTCCCAAGATGTTTTTTGGCCCTGACCTGGAAGGGTCTCTGGGACAGCGTCTCACCACCTTAACTCAAAGCCATAGAAAGGACCAGGCTGGGAATCTCTGAGCATCCCAGCTTCCTGGACTGCTAGGGAACTAATGGAATAAACTAATGGAATAAACTGAGAGTGCTTGTGGAGCAAAAGTGTCTGCACAACTTGTGTTTGGCAGCAGAGTGGGGGGAGTGGGGCTGAGAATGTATTGATTAATACTTCTTTGGAGGGTCTGACCCCTACCTTCCTGTGTCTCAGAACCACAGTGACAGCCACGTGACACTGTTTGAGGGAGACAACTTCCAGGGCTGCAAGTTTGAACTCAGTGATGACTACGCATCCCTGCCCTCCATGGGTTGGGCCAGCAAGGATGTGGGTTCCCTCAAAGTCAGCTCTGGAGCGTGAGTCCCGGGACTGGAACAGGGGAGATGAGAATAAGCAGGCAATGGGACCAGGGAGGAGGGTGGGGGAAGGTGATGGGAATTCAAAGAGACATGGTAAAGAGAGATGTTAGGGACTGGAGGACAGAGGGAAGTGAGGTGATGGGAGAGTTGGAGGCAAGGGAATGTAAGATGGTAGAGACAGACAGTGAGGGAAGGGCAGGTCACAGGAGAATAAGAGTCAGGGGGAATATATGGGGATAAAAAAAGGCACTGAAAACATGGATGAGGAGGCAATAGGAGATGGGAATAAGATACGAGGTGGGGAAGGCGATAGGAAGACACAGAACAATGGGTAAAGCAGGGAGAGAGAAACTGAAGCGATGGTTTTGGAGCTGGGGGTTGGGAGCCGGGAAAGGAGGACTACTAATGGAGGCCATCCATAAGGGTGGGGGCAGAGCCTACTTAGCACTCCTGTGCCCTCACTGGTCTAGGCGGGTGGCCTACCAGTACCTAGGCTACAAGGGCTACCGGTACATATTGGAGCGGGACCGGCATGGCGGGGAGTTCCGTAACTACAGCGAATTCAGCACGCAGGCCCACAGCGGGCAGCTGCAGTCCATTCGGAGAGTCCAGCAACAAGCCCCATGGCCCCAGCACCTTCCCCGAGGATCCTCATTAAAAGCTCCTGAACCTCCCTGCCCTTCTTGTCTCTTTCTTGGTGTCTTGTTTTATGATCTCCATCCTCATCTTTCTGAGGGTCCTTCCCTGTCAACCTGACCCTCCTCTCAGGTTCCAGTACCCTTGTTTATGGAGCATAAACTGGCTTAGGATGTGTGTGGCTCGACTCTGATGGGGCTGAGAGGAAACAGCTGGTAAGAACGTTGGACATCCTGTTAACTATAACCAGCCCCACACTGCTCCTTGTTAAAGGTACATCAGCTTGGACAAGGGGTACTGCTGGCCCAGATGGCACCTTTGCCATCTTCTGGTGGGGGTGCACACAGCTACACAGCAGGGCTCAAAGCTGAATTTCTACCCCCACCCCCACCCCCCCAGACATACACATACCCTGGGCCAGGCACCACCATTCAGGGCAGGACCTCCTTAACTCTATGCAGGAGCTCAGTTGGGATCCTCTTTAACCCCTAGGGCATTTCCAACCTCTATCGTAACCCTGGTTCCCTCTCCAGCCTAGGGAAGCCTGCCCCCCCTTTCCCAGCCTTTATAGAATCTCTGCCTTATAGAAGAGCAAGGGGGTGAGAGGAGGAGTTAGTGGGAGGCCCACTGTCTCCCAGGGCCTTCCAAGGGGGAGTCTTCCTCTTTCTGAGCAGAGCCTCCAGAGCCTTTTTCTGAATAATAACAGCCCCTTACATGGTTTGAGCTCCAGCATTTACAAAGCTTTTCATACCCCTCCTCTCAGCTGTCCCAAACAACCTCCTCTTCATTCTTCCTTCTCTTTCCCCACTCTTCAGAGAACTGGTGAGCTGGAGAGGCCACCCCTCAACTACTGATCGAAGTGAGCCTGGGTTCTAGGCAGGAGGCAGAAGCCCACAAACAGTGGGGTTGAGTGTGGCAGCAGCCATCAGAGTTCCTGTCACTAACGTAGTGTCTTACCGGTTCCCTCTTTTGCCCAATTAGTGATGCCCTCAGTCCCACATCGGCAGGGTCTCCATGTCCCTCAAGGATGCTTGTGTTTTCAAGTCCCTATCACTAGAAAGAGGTGGTCCAGGTCATCGCCCTAGCCCAAGGGAGGCAGGGCAATGTGAGAGCAGTGAGACTTGGACCTGGTAGTCCCCAGGGGGCCCAGCTGTGTGAAGTCAGGTATCTGCTTCCTTGGGAAGAGCCTTGGATGAGAGTCAGAACACCTGGGACCCAATCACATAGCACCCTTGAGCCTCAATTCCCCCTCCTATAAACTGGGGTTACTGATCCCTGCCTTGTCTTGTGAGGAGTCAATGAAAAACCTCTGAAAATGCTTGTGGTGCTATGGAAAAGCACTGGGGCAGTCAACTAAGACCTTCCTTCCCCCGCCTTACCACTATGGATCCCAGGGTTCGGTCAGGATTTGGTTGGGAAACCAAGGGATAGATCTCTAGGTGAGGTATGAATTCTGCTTTATACTTAGGCAGGGTCTAGAGTCCATGGCTCTTGTTGCAGTTCATCCTCCTGTTGCATGCTTCATCCATTTCACCCGTGAAGAAACTGGAGCTCCTCTGAGAGGGAGGTCACCCATTTAATTGGTGACAACACCAGGACTTGAACACAGGACTCCTGACCCCCAAATCCAGGCTGTTAAGTGGAGGCTGACCTGAGCTGTGGCTTAAAGCCTCCTGCCTCAGCAGAGCCCCAAACCTTTGTGGGCCCCAGAGGAACCTGGGGTTCTTGCCTGGTCACAGGCTCTTAATTTTCTCCTTCTGGGATACTAATAAAAGCAATAGATAAATGTCCGAGCAGTCAGCATGTGCTGCATAAGGCTTATAACTCTGTATGGTATGTACTATAATTCCCATTTTACAGATGAAGAGACTAAGGTACAGAGATTATGTAACTTCCCCAAAACTCACACAACTAGGAAATGGGAAACCCAGAGTTGAATCCAGACAAACGGGCTTCAGAGCCCAGCAGCCCAAATCTCCATTCCTTACTTTGGGGGCACGCAGTGAGCAAAGGGATATCTGGTCTCCACCATCAGCTGAGCTGCCCTCCCTCTAGGAGGGCCTGTGGCTGCCAGAAACAGTCAGCAAGATGGCTTCAGGAACTGGCAGTGTGACCCTGAACAGGGCACTCCTTGTCTGTCTCAAGGTATCAGTGACCACACCTGTACAAACCAGGGAGTTGGGGGAGCTAATATTTGTAGCTGCCTTTACAAGCACAGACCATCTAGGTTTTCCTGGACCCAGGGGTCTCACTGTGCTCTCCACACTGGCAACTAAGAAGTGTGTGTGTGTGTGTGTGTGTGTGTGTGTGTGTGTGTGTGTGTGTGTGTGTGTGTGTGTGTAGGGGTGGGGTGCAGAGGCCAGGCTGGGCCTGAGTGTTTTCACCTTCTCCCTCCCATTCCAGGCAGGCTGATGGTCTGCAAAACCTTGTGGGACCTGCACCCTGCTTGGGACAAAGGCCAAGGGGCATGAAAAAGGGCAATTCCTTTCTGGTGCAGCCAAGACCCAGGTGGTGTTGGGGAACAACTCTCACCACCTCTCCCCACACACAAATTCTTCCTGGAGCCCACCTACGCTTTAGTACCTGAGTCTTCAGTGAGGCAGGGGCTCAGAGCCTGAGATGTTGATCCTTCACCAGCTCAAAGCTGGGATGTCTGGATACAACCCCACTCTGAGAGCCTCTCCCTTCTGCCTCAACCTTACACTGAGAGCACTAAGTGGGTGAACCTTGCTGCTTCCCCACTCTCTTAGCTCTGACCTTCTGCTCCTTGTTTTCTGTCTGGGGAAGTGATAAGAAGGCATGAAGAAAAGGAACTGGAGCCTCAGCCCCACTCTCAAAGCCCTTGCCTCCTGTGAAGCCCTGAGTTTGGTCTCCAAGGAGCATCACAACCTCTCATCTTTGCTTCCACTAGATTCTACATCCACATCCTGAAGCCCCCATCCCTGTCCCTTTAGGGTCCTCTGGAGTCCTGGGATCCCTCATTTCCCCCTAGGCTCTGCCTCTCACACTCCTCCATGGCTCCTTTGGGCCTTTGCACTTTCCACCAGTAAAGACAAACACTCCAGCAGTTATAGCAAGTGAAGAATGAGCAAGGATCCTGCAGAACCCACCTAGTTAGATGCTCTAGCCATCTTTAGTCAGGTACCCTGGACCAGGGATCCTGCAGGAAACCTGCCCACTCTAATCCATGTGCCCTGGAGGCCCAGGCTTACTCTCCTCCTGGGCTCAAACTGTGGGAGAGAAAAGCCTTGAGATGACCAATTCTGACAGTAATTACCAGGTACTGCATGGCTGCAGGTGGACTCCTGGCCCAGAGCCTCGCCCATCGGTCTTCAGCTAGTATCCCTCCTTAACAGCCTCTCTAGAGTCCCGAAGACCCACAGGTACCCAGAGATTCCAGGCCACCTGGGAACTACATCAGCTTTGCTAATACACAACCAGTGTCTTTGCCTTTTTTTTTCAGAGTGAATTTCAGCCTCCACTCCATCCTCCACTCCACCCCACCCCACCCCTGTTGGGGCCTTTTGCAGCACACAACCCTGTTTTAGCTCCTCTACTCCTGTTAGCACAAGGTGCCAACTGCAGGCTGATTCAGGGATAACCGGGATGGGAATGGTTGTGAGGGTGAATTGTAGGTGACCTGGGATGGCAGGGGGTGGGAAGGATGGGAAAGCAATAGTTGTGGCAGAAGTACAGGGGGATCATGAGCTTACTGTGTGCCACAAATCAGTGGGGAACAAATGAATGTGAAAAGGAGGATAAGGACAGAGATGGGACAGAGTGATGGGGGAGGAGGGGAGAGATGGGCATCGGAGAGACTAGATGGAAGAAGGAGAGACCTAGAAAGGGGGAGGAGGTGCAGCCCACTAGAAGTTATGAGGACGATGCCTCAGCTCTGACCCAGAGGACTGGGAGCCCTGGAAAGGCTGGAATCGAGGGAAAGCAAGAGGCAGACAAGGAAGGAGATCATGTCTCCAGGGAAGAGCAGAGAGTGGGAGAGGAGGAGGGGGTAGAAGGCTGGGAGGGGGGCTGAGATAAAGGGAGCAACGGATGCGTGGCCCGGGAGCGCAGCGACAGGCGAGAGGGAGGGAAGCGGAAATTTAAAAGTGAAGATGCAGATAACGCAGCCTGGAGACGGCAACCCGGGTGGGGGTGGGAGGAGGAAGGGGGGGGAGAGTGGAGCCGTGAGGGGGGCGAGAATGGCCGGGAAGAAGGGGCTGTGGCCCGGAGTGTCCAAGGTGGAGCTGGGTACTCCGCCCCATCGATGTTTGCTGAGAGTCAGGGAGGCGGAAAAGAAACACGCTCCCGACCCCCATCAAAGCGCGAAGCCCAGGCCCATCCCCCGCGCGTCTCCGGGCTGCCGGGGCGCGGGGGGCTGCCGGGTGCGCTTGGCTGCCGCACCGCACGACGGAGACTTTATTGCGATAGGAAGATAAGAGGGGCGGGGGCGGGGTCCGGGGGGCCGAGGCGGCAGCGCTTTAATTAAAACGGAAATTGCGGCCCCTGCCCGCGCGGGGGGCCGGAGGGTTCCAAGAAGTGTGGTAGCTGGGAGCTTCGCTCGAGGACCCCCTCCAACCCCCGCCACACCCGGGCTGTCCCCTCCCGCCAGGCCCAGCTGGACCTGGCGCGGTCTTCATCTCCCCGTCACCCGCGGTCGCCTAGGGCGGGGATCGGTGCCCCGGAGCGCAAAGCCTGACGCGTCCCCCTCCTGTCATCCCCCCCCCACCTCCCACCGCCCAGCCTCTTGGCTGCGATGAGACAGAGCGGCGCCTCCCAGCCCCTGCTGATCAACATGTACCTGCCAGGTACCAGGGACCAGCTGGGGGCTGGAGGCACCAGGGCGGGAAGCCTGGGCTGGGGTATGGGAAACGGATGCTGGGGTCCAAGGGAAGGGGCGCGGTCCAGAGACTTGGCTTGCTGGAAGGACTAGGCAATCTAGGGCACTGGAGGATGGTAAAGGCAGATGTAGAGCTTTGGGGCTTTAAATGTGAGGTCCAGAGGACTCGAAGTGAGCAGATAGGGAGCCTGGGAGGCCGAGGGCGCCAGCTCAGGGGCTGAAAGAGCCTGGAGCCGGAGCAGGGATCTTTGGTGCGGCGCGGGCAGTGTTGGGAGGTTGTGGTCCGCGGGGCGTCGCCCCTGCGCCCTCGTGGTTTCTCACCTCCGTGCTCCGAGCGTTCCCACCAGCCCAGCCTTCCAGGCGCCCTCCTCGCCTCTCCTCTCCGATGGGCTCCGTGCGCTCCCGCTCCGCTGGCGCAGTCCCCGCTCAGCTTTATAAGGCTCCCGCCGGCCCGTTCGGAAAGCGGATTTCCTTTTTCCTGGACGCGTTTCCTGACTTGGGCATTATGGAGGGGCTCCGCGCGGCACGCGCCTGGGCTAGGCTCCGGGAGGAGGAGCTGGGCAGCTCCGGCCCCCAGCCTCGCGCCGGCAACCAAAGCTCCCCTTCTCAAGCCTTGGACCGGGGCCCTTTGGGTCAAGCCCACAACCTCCGCCTGGGTCCGCCTGACTATATTCTTCTGCCACAGATCCCGTCGGAGACGGTCTGTTCAAGGAAGGGAAGAGCCCGGGGTGGGGGCCGCTGAGCCCTGCGGTGCAAAAAGGTGAGCTGGCTGACGGACTGGGTGAGCAGAGCAGGGGCGAGGACAGTGGATGGGAGCCAGGGCACCCATCCGAGAAGGAGGGGGGCCACCACTACCAGAACAGAGGGTGGAAGCGATGTGCAGTGCTGGGCTCTAGGAAACAGAGGGTCCGGACATGATCATAGAAAGACTGGGGGTGAGGCGAGGCATTCACTTGGCCTTGGGTTCCTGCCTCTTCGAGTCCCAGCGCAGGGCTTGCAGGCCAGGACAGAGGGAGAGGATCCTGGCTCCCACTCACTCTTTCCCCGGCTCTGTGGACAGGGCTGAGGCGCTTGGCGTCCTTTCCCTGCTGGCAGCAGGAGAGAAAGGCCTCGGCACCACTGGGCAAGGGAACCCAGAGATTTACTCCCTGGCCACTCCAGGCCACATCACCACTGGCCCAGGGCCTGAGCCTACCTGCCTCATTGACCAGCGAGAGACAGGATTTGGGGGCCAGGAAGCCTGGGTCATTGCAGTTGGTTTCTGGTTTCATAGCCAGCTCTCCGCGGGTGGCTAGATTACCCTTGGCTTTGCCTTGGTGGCAGAGCCTGACTGACCTTCCAGGCAAAGCCGTCCCACAGCCCCCCACCCAATTAGTACCCTAGATCTCACCAAGTTACAGTAACCGTATAAACAAGATTGGCAACTTCTTTATTCAAAAGGGAAGACGGCTCCCGACAGGAATGGGTTTACAAGCCTCTGATGTTGCTCTGCATCAGTGCCAACTACACATTTTTACCCAAACCTTCCGTTGCTTCTGATCCTAAACTCAATGCCCCCTACCTGGAACCAGGCAGCTCCTCGCTGGGCACATTTGGAGGGATTGGGGTTGAAACTGTGGAGGTTGGCATCCGGGTTCTGAGCGAGTCATTGAAAAAGGAAGAGAGGCTCACCAGGGTCTATTGGAAGCAATAATCAGACAACTTCGTGGAAAATCCATTTTATTCTAAAAGAGGGGGGTGTAATTGAATCAAGATTTTTCTCTGCTTGTCTGACTGAGGCTCCAAGACAGGGGAGCCAGAGTTCACACACATATCCGGGGAAAACCTCCTTGCCGCTTCCAACCCCAGAATTTGGAGAGGGCAGAAGAGCCTGGAGATGGACCAAAGATGGGAGAAGGCAGGGGGCCAAGCACAGCGGCTTCGAAGTCTCAGCTCCTTTCCTCAGAGCTGTGCATCACCCCCAGGGAAAAATGACATCTTTGCAGGCCGGGAATCCCGCCTGTTCCGAAAAAGAGGCCCACCCAACACATTTAGTGCCAGCGCAGCTCTTAGCACTCCAGACTGTGGTGGAGGTGGGGAGCCTTCAGAGGCTGCCTTTCCTCTCACACATGGGGACCACTGTGCTCATTCCTGTCCGATGTGGTACCACAAGGAAGCCATACCACCTCTTCCCCATCTCGGCGGCCGTCCAACTGTATGCCTTTGGGGGCTGGGCCTTGTCCAGTGGCCAGGGTCGTCCTGCTGCACGCCTGCCTCTTTTCTCTGGATCTCTGGACATGGTGCAGCTGGAATGTGGTAGTCCAATCTTACCTGGGCAGGCTACCCCGTGCGGCTGTGCAGGGTGTGCCCTGAATTGGGACTCCCTGCCAAGGCTGCAGTAGGGGCTGATACCCAGTCCTTGCTTACCTCCGAGAGAGCCGGTGCGTCTTGCTGCGTGCCGGGCTGGCTCCTTGCAGAGGAGGTGATGCTTCGCCCTCTGCCCCGACAAAGCCACGCATCTGCTGGGGCTGAGTCCTCCTAAGTGGGAGCCGTGTTTCCATTGTGGAAAACCTCGGTAATGGCTAGGACGGGTTTGCTGATCAACCCCTCCTTGGCCAGCCTATCCAGCTGCACCCAGCTACACAGCTGGACTTAATCCTTTCCCTCCCAGATACCGGTTTCCCCAGGCTGGGTCGGTTTCCCACCTCACCTCCAGCCTCCCCCATCCCTCCTGTGACGGACCGCCCCCCTCCCCACAGGCAGCGGGCAGATCCAGCTGTGGCAGTTTCTGCTTGAGCTGCTGGCGGACCGCGCCAACGTCGGCTGCATCGCGTGGGAGGGCGGCCACGGCGAGTTCAAGCTCACGGACCCAGACGAGGTGGCACGGCGCTGGGGCGAGCGCAAGAGCAAGCCCAACATGAACTACGACAAGCTGAGCCGCGCACTACGCTACTACTACGACAAGAACATTATGAGCAAGGTGCACGGCAAGCGCTACGCCTACCGCTTCGACTTCCAGGGCTTGGCGCAGGCCTGCCAGCCGCCACCCGCGCACGCCCATGCCGCCGCGGCCGCTGCTGCCGCGGCCGCCGCAGCCCAGGACGGCGCGCTCTACAAGCTGCCGGCCGGTCTCGCCCCGCTGCCCTTCCCCGGCCTCTCCAAACTCAACCTCATGGCCGCCTCCGCCGGCGTCGCCCCAGCTGGCTTCTCCTACTGGCCGGGCCCGGGCCCAGCCGCCACCGCCGCTGCCACTGCTGCGCTCTACCCCAGTCCCGGCTTGCAGCCTCCGCCCGGGCCCTTTGGCGCCGTTGCTGCCGCCTCGCACTTGGGGGGCCATTACCACTAGACGGGGCGGCCGGGTGCTGCGCGGCCTCTCCCAGACGCCCAGAGCCTCCGCTCAATCCCATCCACGTCCTGGGGAAGGGGCCCGACGCTTCCCCACCGTTCCTTTGACCTCAGATTTGACTCCATCCGCCGCGCCCAGCCCCGGGGGAAGGGACTTGAAACCTTCTCAATATTCTTTTAAGTGAATTTGTCCCTGCCTCACCTCCCAAACCGCAGGGGAAGGTGACTGTGTCTCCCGTCCCCACCAATTCCTCTAACCTGCATCTTCTTCTAGGCCCCAGATCCCTCAAGGGGGTTCCCGGGCTTCCCGTTTTTCTCCCCTCCACCTGTACTTCTGCCTGGCTCCTGGAAGCCTCCTCTATTTATGAACCCCTCTTTTTCGAATTCCAAGTCTTTTCTCATTTTTTCCCTTCCCAACGGAGCTGTCCCGATCCGATCCCAGTATGGTGGAGGCCTCGCCCAGTCTACCTTCTCCTCCTGGGCACCTCAGCGGTCTTGGTAAGGGCCACTGCTCCCCATAACTCATCTAGGTAGCCGGGGACCCCTTCCTCCCGACCCCACCCTCTCGCAGGACAATGGCTCAGTTTATTTCAGTTCCTTCCAGGCCCATTAAAGTTCCTAATTTCCCCACTGCCTCCTCTCTCAGTTCTTTGCTGCACCAGGACCTTTTTTCAGGGGCGGGGGGGGGGGGGGGGGGGGAAGAAATGAGATATCCAGCTCGGGCCTGAGCAGAAAGGCCTGCCGAGGAAGAACTGGAGGAAATGAGGGCAAAGCAGACTGGGGTGCTACAGGAGGCGAGCAAGGAGCCTCCTGGTGGGTGGGTCCAGCCTAAGAGAGACACGCCCTGTTGCAGCCGACTCCCCCACACTCACCCCGCCTCGACCCCAGCCTGCCTCACCTTCCTTGCCTTCCACCCACCCCCTCACTCCACCCTACCCTAACTTCACCCCAATGCACACTGGCATCCCACCTTCCTCCATGTCACTCATCTCTCCGCCTGCCCTTCACCTCATCCCAACCTCCACCCCACCTTGTCTCATCTTCACACAATCTCAACCTTTCCGCAGTCACTCCCATTTCATCCCCTTTCCAGCTCCACTCCCCTCCTCTCACCCTCACTCAGACTTTCTCACCCTCACTCCCAAGCCGCCCCCTTGCCCAGGATATCTCCATGGCTCTTTTCTCTGGACCCGCCTCCTCATTTTCAGGAGGGAACCACCACCCTTCCACGCCTGTCGCGCCCAGCCGTGGCTTGCTGTGGCACCCGCCTTCTCGCGGGTGGCGCGCACCCTCTGCTGGTGGGATGAGGATAAGCCCAGGCCAGGTTCTGAAGCTAAACCTGGGAAGGCTTTGCACGCGGCGCGGTGAAACCTCGGGTGTCCCCGCGACAGAAGACCGAGGACCCCGACGCTTCCGGGCTACCTTTGGCCTTCAGAGAGGAGGGCGAAAGGAGGGAATCCTAGCCCTGCATCCCAGGGCCGGCCTCGGGAAGTCCGGGAAGTGGGTCCTTCTTCTGGCCGGGCCCTTTTCCTTACCACCTGAAGGCCCTTCAGAAATCCGCGCCCACGAGGGCCACGGCTCTTACGCTCTCTCCGCGCCCTTTTACAAGACCTATTGGCAGGAAAACTGCCTTAAACGCGTTCCCTTAGACGCAAACAACACTGGGGAAAGTACCCGAAGCGAAAGCCTGGACTTAGAGCTGCACAACGAGGCAAGCCCCTTGCTCCTCCTTCCCCATGGTCCTGGCATTTCTTTCCCAGGGGAACACATCTCCCTGGACCAAAGGTTCCTCGCCGGTTGGTGGGAGAATGCCTGGGCTCCCACAAGGCAATTGAGGAAATTTCCGGTGCCCTGTGGGCAGGAAGGAGCAATGCAGATAGAAGGCCGGACTTTCAGTGCAGCTGGAGCCTGAATTCCCCTTCCTAAAGAGTGCTGATGAAATCCTCCAGGTCCACGTAAGGAAAGAGCCTTGATTTCTTTTCATTTTATTTTTCCTTTGTTTTTTCTTGTCTTCCAAATAACACATACTCAGCAGACACAATTTGGAAAATGCACATTTAAAGCTTCCATTAAATATTCGTTGGATGAAGAGTAATGAAACATGTGAAAGTCACGTACAGTCCCATTACACAGAAACTACTCTTAGTAACTGTGTCATAATCTCCTTCCTTTCCTCTATGCCTTTTAGAATTTAATAGTATCCTGCTCTAGTTGCCTAACATTCTGGCTTCAGCGTGTTCCATGTCATTGTGCCTTATTGATCTCATGGGGTGGGAGGGTAGACGCACAAATTCCAGGAAGCAGATGAGTCAAGGGAGTCCTCAGTGACTTGGAGAGAGAGAGGCAAAGGGCCTCTTTGCAGTGGGCAGGAGGCTGGGAGGGAGAAAGAATGCACTGGGGAGACAGAACCAGGTTCCGGAAGGATCTGGGCTGCTAAGAATTATGGGTTGAATGTAACAAGGTGAAATTTCCTGGCAAAAAGTGTAAGGCCCTGCCCTTAGACCTTTAAAATATTGGGTTGTCAGAAAAGTCATGACGCATTTTTGCAACGAAAAATAGAAAAAATATTTCATGACTTTTCTGACAACCCAATAAATGATAGGAGGCCAGAGTGTGAGGCATGGCTAGGCAGGATTCAAGAGAGCATGGGTGTAAATTTGTGGTATCTTAGTCAATACGACATTAAATGGGAACCTGCAGGGTGAATGCAGAAACATAATTGTGATCTGAGGGTACACTGATGTAGGATGAAGGAAATGATCCCTTTGCTCTAACGATTGTGCCCCTGGCATATTGTACATGATGTCAGATAACACTTTCAGGAGAAGACCAAATGGAGAAACACAGAGTCGAGGATCCAGGAAGTGGAGAAGCACACTGGAGAACCAACAATGGGAGATGTAGTCTGGAAAGTCGAAGTGGGGAAAAGGTAACAGAGCTTTCCTCAGTTATTTAGAGTTAGCCCATGGCAGAGGACCCAGATGAGTATGACCGGGGCAGTGTGACTGCTACACATAGTAGGAAGCTACAGTAAGACAGATATGTCAGTTTGATTTAATGAAGAACCTTCTGCCATGGAGCACGTCAGATGAAGAGTGCTCTGTTACCAAAGTGTTCGGCAGACCCTTGGACAATTGCGTGGGGAAGTGGAACAGGTGGCTTCTCCAACCTTTAAGACTCTTGAAATCGTGCTAGTGAGTCAGTAAAGGAGGGATTTCACGACTCACTGGACAGTTGGGGGAGGTGTTATTAGATCAGGGGCTTTTCTTACCTATGAAACCACATCCTCAAAGCTCATCTTGCCCCTTTGTTCTTCCTACACACAGAACCAGCTTGGAAGTAAAGATATAGTCCTGGGAGCTGGAAAACTTGAGTCTTGGTCCCAGCTTGGCAACTAACTTGCTATGTGACCTTCAGATAATCACATCTCTTCTCTGGGATTCCATTTACTGTGGTCTTGGGATGGCTACCCCACCCAAGCCCTGAAGAAGCCACACTCTTAACATACTCAGTTTCCTGACCATCCAGGCCAGTCCTCACTGACATTTCACTCCTTGGTCCTTGGTCCACTAAGGCATTAATTCCATCATTGCTTTCCTCTCCCAATCCAGGGCCAAGTCCCTCTTTGATTCCCTGAAGACCTGAGCCTTTTCTCTATCTCCTCATTTACGTCCCTGGTGGAAATATGGCTGACTCCCCTGCCCGCCGCCATATGCTTGCACCACAGAGTTTACAAAACACTTTCACATCCATTGTTTTATTTATCCCCTCTAAGGTCAGGGAGGAAGACAGAGAAGGGATTGCTTTAACCACTTGGAGGATAAGTAAACCAAAGCCCAAGATGTTAAGAGACTTGACCAAAGTCCCAGAGTTTTTTCTAAGACTTGTGTCTTCCAGTTCCTCTCCCAAGCCTTTTCCCAATGCTCTAAGTGGTTTCTGCATGGTCCTGAGTGGCCTTTGGTCACCCCCTCATTACACACACCGATGCCTCCTCCAGTAACGCATGCTCTGTGTGACCAAGCTCTACTTGCCTTCACATGCAGATGGAATCAAAAGCCCAACTAGCAGGCAGTGTGTGGACCTGCACAGTCACAGAACAACGATGCCACCTAGGGCACTGACGCTTACAGAGCACTTTCTCATATGTTAGCTCATGTGACCATAGGCAGACATCAAAATAAGCTGCTGTGGTGTACTTTTCTCAGGGCCTTCTGCTTCTCTGGCCTTCATCTCTCCTTTAACATGTCTCTAAAATATACTTAACTTCAGCTTTTTCCCCAACATGCTTACAATTCCCATTAAGTAGACCTGCTGATTATAAACATGTGCCCTACCATTCATTGAACCTTACTCTGCCAGGCTCTGCCTATGCTAATGCTCTCCATGTGGCATCTCCTTTACCTGGCCACAGTCTAGCCAGGTGGGGATGGTTCCCTCCATTTTCAGATGAGGAAACTGAGGCTTGGAGAAGCTAAGTGACTGGCCCATCCTATCGCCCCAGAGCTCAAGTCCTCACCATCACACCAGATCCCCTCCTTCTGGGTCTTCCTGGAGAGCTTCTTCCTCATGTAAAAGTGACCTGCTGCTTGCCCATTGAAGGTGTACTTTGTCTAATAGTCTAATCAAAGCAGCAGATGGTTGATTATAATGGACAAAGTGATGGCTTGTCTTATGAGTGTCCTTAGTTAAGGCCCCCAATTGATAAAGAACAAAGCAGAGACTGGTTTGTTGCCTCATTGTCTTTTGCAAGCCTTCACTTTCCTAGTTGTGTTCCTACAAACTTGGAGTAGATCACTGTACACTCAGGTGGGGCTGGGGTCTGAATGCACCTTGACTTTGGTGGCAGTTCCTATCTAGTTTGGGCCATGGTATGTCTCCCTGACTCTCCTCTGTCCTGGGATGGCAGGTCTCATGTCTAGAGGAAAGTGGCCCAATGTCCCACTGACTGTGATTTTTTTCTGAGAATTCTCTTCCACTGGATCCTGTTTGCTATTTCCTTCTGTCCTTTCTTTGGCAAAACAAAAGGCAACACAGCATGATGGTCAAGAGCAAGGGCTCTGGGGCTAGACTTCCTGGGTTCAAGTGCTGGTTGTCACGTACTAGCTGTGTGCCCTCAAGTTACTTCTTTGTGCCTCAATCACCCCATCTGTAAATGAATATAATACCTTATGGGGTTGAAAGATTAAATGATTATATAGCTGCCTTGGTATATACAAGGTATCAGTTTTCTA